CCCATGCCGAGACCTCCGCCCATGCCGAGACCTCCGCCCAGGCCGCTGCCGCCGCCGTAGCCCGTCTCCCTCGAGCTGCTGACCACGGCTGCGGGGAGACACGGCGCACGCCCGCTTTAGGGTCCTGCTGGCTCCCCAGGGTGGGGGGACCTGCGCCATCACCGCTGTGACAGGGGTGGAAGCGGGGGAGATACTTACAGACGCTCACGGCTCCGACTCCCTCTCCGGCAAGCCTGTTGGGAAAGGGGAAAGTAAGCAATAACGCCAGAGCACAGACAAGATGTAAGATTAGCCACTGGCACCATCTAATTAGACTCTCGTGGCCGTCAATAGGGGCTGTCCTCTGGGGGGGTATGTCTCTCTTGCAGGTGAAAGGTGACAACGCTCGTTTTTATTAGTGCATCGGGTGCCAAGGGCTGGAGAAACTAATCTTTTCCTACAAAGCTCACAGTTTAAAATAGCCCTCTTTCTGCCCTTGCTTTGCATCACTTGGTGCTTCAGCCCCTTGGGGTGAGCCGTCTCTTTGAGCCCAAGGAGATGCACCCTGCTCTGAAGAGCAGCACACGGCAGGTTCATGTGCTTGTCCTCACCGGCTCTCCTCGCCCTCCAGCAGCTTCCTGTAGGTCGCGATCTCGATGTCCAGGGCCAGCTTGACGTTCATGAGCTCCTGGTACTCCCGGAGCTGCCGGGCCAGGTCGGCCTTGGCCTTCTGCAGAGCATCCTCCAGCTCGGCCAGTTTGGCTTTGGCATCCTTGAGGGCCAGCTCCCCGCGCTCCTCTGCCTCGGCGATGGCGGCCTGGAGGCTGGCACACTGAAAGCGAGGAAAACAGGTAGTTGTTTAACTTGGGCTGCCCCAAACTGCTCTCCTGAGTATGGCTATGGTATTGTAGATACTGGCTGGTGCCTCCCGGGATGGCACTGAAAGCTCCTGATGGGCCCTTAGGAAGGTATCTGAAGGTGGGTGACTGGGGAGCTGCAGCCATGCTCCTGGCCCCCAAGAAAAGGAGAGGTATCTACATCTCTGCTTTGCTACACACCTTTGCTGGGGTAGCTTAGTAGCTGACAGTTTGCTTCCCCAGCAAGAAAGCAGCTATCGCAGCGCATCCTTGCACTGAGAGACCTTCTCTGGCGGGCAAAGACAGAGATGGCCATGCTCCCTTTAATGCAGGGGGGAAAGCCTGACCTTCCCGCCCTGCTCTAACGCGAGGAGCTGGCTCTTTCTGCTGTGCCTGGCCACCATCACCTCCCGCTTGCCCTCCGCCGTGCAGCAGCTGCTCTGCGGGAGCATCCCCCTCATACCTGTTTCTTCACGCTCTCAATCTCGTTTCGCAGCCTCTGGACCATCCGGTTGATCTCTGAGATCTCGATCTTGGTGTTACGCAGGTCGTCACCGTGTCGCCCGGCAGAGACCTGGAGTTCCTCGTACTGGTAGGTAGAAAGGAGGAGAGCACTGGTTAGGCACCATGGGGCTTAGGGAAGGGCGAGGGGGCTTCGGGGCACAAAGTGCGGGTCTGGATGCAGGTTAAGGGTGGGGGATGACATTCCTCTGAGCAACCTCCCCATGGAATAATGGGATTTGCCCTTAGTTATCAATATATGCTAAGGCAGCAGCTATTGCATTGCATAGAGCACCTATGGCTGTCACCTGCTGTTAAGAACCTGGAAGGGGAAGAGGAGTGCTCTGTGTCCACAGCCAGATCTACCAGCCACTCCTTATGAGTCCAGGATCAAGGCATTTAAGCAACTTGTCCCTTGGTTTCACCACAAGGACTATAAGGCTGGTCAGGGGTAGTGGTCCACAAGCAAACACTGAGAATCTGTGTGCAAGAGCCTGTTGCAACACGCATAGAAAATAAATTAATCTCTGGAGTAACGCTGTGATCCTTCCTCCGTCAGTCCTGCCTCCCATCAGCTGGTGTGATGCCACGTGAGCCACAGAAATCAGTCAGTCGTTCTGGTTACCCACCTTGTTTTGGTACCAAGCCTCAGCCTCTGCCCGGCTCCGGTTGGCGATGTCCTCGTACTGCGCTTTGACCTCTGCGATGATGCTGTTGAGGTCCAAGTTACGGTTGTTGTCCATGGACAAGACCACAGAGGTGTCGGACACTTGCTGCTGCATCTGGGACAATTCCTGCAGAAGATGCAAAAAAAATGAAGTTAATGGTCTGGTATCTGGGGTGGAAACTGTGCCGACAAGAGGTGGCTCAGGAGCCCTCTCCCCGAGCCATTTTCTTGCGTTTTCCCCTGCTCTCTGCCCTTTTCTATCTTATGCCTGCATTAGAATTTTAGAAAGGCAGTGATCACCTTCTCTTTTACTGCCGTACAGCACAAGCATGGTGGCTGGAGCTCCGGGGCGCGGAGAGCTGTACGGCAGGGAGCTGCGGAGGATGCTGTCACGGGGAGGGCTGACTGCTTACCGCTTCGTAGAGAGCTCTCAGGAAGTTGATTTCATCTGCCAGCGCATCTGCTTTGGCCTGCAGCTCGACCTTGTTCATGTAAGCACCATCCACATCCTAAAGAAAAGAAAACACAAGACTTCTGATGAAACCACGAGCTTCGGGATACCAGTGGGACCATCTCTCTGCTTCCAGGTCTGTTATTTAGGCTTGTTTTTAAATCGCTACGATCAAGGGTTGGGTGGGGTTTTTTTTTTTAAATGTAATGTTGGACATTTACTGCGAGCCAGAACCAGGTTCTCGGGCAGAAAGCAAAGTGCTGACTCATGGGCATGTGACCAGAGACAGAGTTGAACTGAGCCACGAGAGGCCAGACGCAACTGCAACCGGAGGAGCTATCTGCAGAAAACCGGGCAGCTCCGCCGGCACGGAGAAGGTTATGCCCATTCATGGCCTCAGGAGGACCCAGCCCACACTTACTCCTAGACCTGCCAACAGCATAGCCTGACCCAGCCGTGAGGCTGGAGGACCCCAGCTCCCATCAGCTTTGCTTAAACTCTGTGCATGACGAGCTAATTTCGTTGGCCGTCCCATAACTCCCAGTTCACTCACCTTCTTGAGCACCACGAATTCGTTCTCTGCACCGGTGCGCCGGTTGATCTCATCTTCGTACCTGTTAGGATAAAAGAGCGAGAGGGTTTCGGCAGAAACGAAGAGCAGAGCCGGCATGGGAAGCAGAGATGGGACCACTCCAGTCCCAAGTTGTCAGCTGCGGCTCTCAGATACGTGTGTTCCTTACTCCCACCTGTTTACAGTCCAGAGCAGATGCAGAGCAAACGCTTACTGACTCTGAACCTGCAAGACTCCATGGTGTGAGTAGTCCCAGCTAAAATTAATAGATTTTAATCACTGCCCTTAAAGGCAAGCTCATACATAAATGTGTGCAGGATCAGAGCCCGTTTCGGTAGGAAGCAGGAGCAGTGACCTTTGCTCAAAGCAAACTTATGCAAAAGGCTTTCAACGAAGCTGCGTTGCAATGCCCACAAATATATAATAATGCAACAATTCGATATTTGATATTGTAATAAAGCTAATGGCTCTGAATAACCCGCTGCAGCATTTAATTAAAAAAAAAAAAAAAGCCTGCGATTCTTAAGCCGCGGTTGTGCAAGAGCAGATGGTTCTGCCTCAGACTGTTTCTGTGGACTTTTTATGGCTCTGAGCAACATCCTCTCATCAGATAATCAGGGCAGGGCATAGGTTGAAAGTAGACAAAACATGTAGGCTCTTGAGGCAAAGACCTGGCTTTTGAAGGCAGGTTCGTGCCAGTCCTCTAACTAATATTGGCAGAGATATCCCCGCAGATGGCTCTCCGAGCGGACATGGGAAGAAGTGGAAATTAGCCAGTGGAGTGGGAGCCAACTCGAGTCTTGAAATGAGATGTGCTCTCTTTCCCAGGCAGTAGCTCCAAACTCCAGACAATATCATTTGTCATTTTTGGCCCGATCGGTGTTTCTAGAAGCCTGTAATATAGATCGAGACCTGAAATGCACCCATGTACAACACACCAGAAGCTGTGTCCGTCCATCCTGTCAGCACTAAGTGCCTTCTCCCTGTTACCCCCTGCCCCCGCCCAGAAATCTGTCTCTTTACTTGCTTAACTAATATAGACACATTTCAGGCCTCCAGGGTTTTTCTCTCAAATTTGCACTCGAATAAGGGAGAGGTTGTTCTCACCAGACAACAGCCAACTAAAAATGAATGGCCTCGCCTAAAAAAAGCACCTAAACGTCCCTTATAGTCAGCAGACGCCAACTGGCATGTCCTCAAAATGATTCATCCCACTTCTGCTGGACACTGTCTCAGGATGGGATTAATTGCCTCCGCAGGGAGATAGGTTTTCTTTGACAACGATCAGAGAAAAGAGCCGAGCATCTTGCACGTGATCGGAGCTGAGCGAGGCCGAGCACACGCAAGTCGCCTGGGGCCCTCTGGAAAGGCTGGGGTTTCCTTTGCAGAAAGAGAAATGGGGGATTCTGGAGCTGGCAGTTTATGGCTACGTTTCGTTCCTTTTTTGCGTGTCCGTTATAGGCACGAGGTGTGCGTTTTTCTGTCTCCGGGTGTGTTACTTCGGGACACTCAAGGGATCAGACCGTGACCTCCGTTACACGGGAGCAGCTTCCCACGGGTGCGTGAAGTCTGTGCTAAACGCTGATCCCGCACGCAAGAAATCTGACATGACTAGAGGTAATTCTGAAACAAAATTTTGCTTTTAGACGTTCATTTTGCAAACTGGGAGAGGAACCCGGTGCAAACGCAAGGTGTGCACCAGCGAGCACGAGCTCCTTGCCCTGATTTTCCTGTTAACCATTTATGCTACAGAGCACGATTTCTTACTTGTTCTTAAAGTCTTCCACCATGTCCTGCATGTTCCTCAGTTCAGAGTCCAACCGCCCTCTCTCTCCCACAAGACTGTCTAGCTGCCGTCTGAGGTTGTTGATGTAGGCTTCAAAAAGGGGCTCAAGGGACTTCCTGGTGACTGTGTGACCTTGCTCTTGGAGGAGGCTCCACTTGGTCTCCAGCACTTTGTTCTGCTGCTCCAAAAAGCGCACCTGGGGAGAAACAAAAACAGGCACGTGCTGAAGCCCATGTGAACAACGCGCAAAAAAAAAACCCTGCTGCCAGGAAAGGGAGGGATCGTTCAACACAGAAAGAAAAGGTCACGAGGGGCTGGGACACTCGAGGGAAATGGTTAGGATCGTCCTAATTTAGGGCACCAAATTCTCAAAAGGATCAAAAGCAGCTAAGTTGTTCAGCAAGATTTTTCAGGGCAAGCACATGTATTTGCAACTTTAGGTGTTTCTCCTCCCACTAGATGCTCAGCCCACCTTACGGGTTTAAACTGGTGTTATCCCATTGAGTTGTGTAGAGCGTTGCCATTTTACAACCAGTAGAAGATTCATCCAGCCCCTGGGATGGGTTTTTTTGCAAGGAGGAAGGGGATTTTCTTTCTCAATAAAATAAGGCACCGAAAAACTCATCCTTGCAAAGAGGAAACAGAAGAACGGTTCTTAGTTTTCAGCCAAATCCCCGCTGGTTTTCGGCTGGGATTAGTTCAGGCAAGCCCCTAAATCCAAACGAAGTTTCTTCCTGTTGTTTTTTCCCAACTGATAATGTGCCTGGCTTGCTGTCTAAGACCAAACACTCACCTTGTCGATGAAGGAGGCAAATTTGTTGTTGAGGGTCTTGATCTGCTCCCGCTCCTGTGTTCGCACCTTCTGGATTTCTGGGTCGATATCCAGCTTGAGGGGTGCCAGGAGGCTCTGGTTGACGGTCACTTCGTGGATGCCACCGGGTGGGCAAACAGGGAACCCAGGGCCACCTCGACCACCAAATCCGGGACCTCCCAGCCCAAATCCACTGCCCAGCCCATAGCCGCCACCACCACCAGCTCCTCCTAAGCCAAAACCAGCGCCTGCTCCACCACCATAGCCAAGACCAAAGCCAGCTCCTCCACCAAAGCCGTATCCACCACCGGCTCCGCTCCGTAGACCTCCACCGACTGAGCTGTAGGAAATTCTTTTGCTTCCACCTAGGTTATAGAGACTTCTGCTGCCGAAGCCACCACCAGCTCCAAATCCTCCTCCACCTCCGGCTCTTCCTCCTCCAACTCTGGAGACAGAGACGGAGCTAAAACTGCTTCTGGTACCACCGCCACCTCCTACGATAGCAGAGCCTGAGCTAAAGCCCCTCATGCCCCCTCCAGTAGATGATCTGAAAGAGATCCGACTCATGGTGGCTTGTTCAATTGGAAATGCAAAGAGCAGGAGAGGGGGGGAAAAAAAAAAAGGCTGGTGAATAAAAGCTGCGCAGCAGGAAAAGAGCAGAGGGCAACGGAGACAGAAACCCCTGTGATGGGAGAGCTTGGGAGCCTCCTCTTTTATCTGCTTGGAAAACTTGGCACGGGAATTCAGAACTTGACGTGCCTTGCAGCAACTTGCCTTGTCAAACACACCTAGGCTACGGCGAGGCGCTGAAAAATGCATTGTTTGCAGGCAAGAAAGTAACGGAGTGAGGGAGCTCCCCCCTCTACCAAAGCCTGCCGCTCTGAGTCATGAAATTAGAATTGAATGGGACGACTCGCTGAGGTCGGCGCTCAGGGGCAGGATGCAACACGATTCTCCCGAGACCCTGGGAGCCGGTTTTCCTTAGGTGAGCCAAGGGCTCGCTCGCTTGAGTAAGGCTCCTTGCGCTGGAGCTTTTGCAAGGTGAGGTTTAGGATTTAACGTGTTGCACAGCAAACAGGGCGGCATGAACAGGGGCTTTTTCAAGGCTGCCGGCTCTGGGACTGGACGTGCATGTGCTGTTGTCGGCTCGGGAAAGCTGGGGCTGAAGGTGGTTTTACTTGTCAGTGCAGCTCTTTGGAGTTCTTTCGGAAAAGGGATCTGAATGATCACGGGCTTGCGGAGATGAGCCGAGTGGAAGCTGTCTTGTGGCAGTATTTTCTGGGATCTTACCAAAAAATTGTCTCCCCTCATTGCGAAGGAAACTGAGAAATTAATTAGCGCGGCTCTCAAAGGCAGCGAGTAAATCCCATTTCCAAAATAACTTCAAATTACATTAAATGGTGCTACAAGACTTATAAAATAGTTGTTAAAAAGGTGCTTGAAATGATTGCTCTTCTTTTGAAGCTCCTTGTCAGGCTCAGAGTTCAAAAGCTCCCTGTGAAGTGGTATTTTTATCACTTGTTTTCCGCCCCCCTGCATTTAACCAGCAGTTTCCACGTCATTGCTGCCTCTCAAAGAGATTCTGTGAAGGGGAATTCACCCGCTTTTCTTCCAGCTCCCTCCCACCCCCTTCTTCACTCTGCTGAGATCGTTCAGTCGGAAAAAATTTCTAAAATACCCTTTGCCTCTTGATCTTGGGCTCTTGGGCAAACCCTTGCCTAGGAGCTTGAATATTGCCCCGTGATGAGGCTGGGTCGTGCTTTAGGATGGTGTGAAGGCAGAAGAGCTGGGCAGCTCTCCTCTTGTGTCCATAAAGAGCTGGACACAAGTTAGGAGAGAAGGCAGCCCTCCCTCCCACCCAAAATACTCTGCAAACGCCCTGCCAGCCGCATCCTTGCGCCACGCGGGCTGCCCACCTCGGCCATGTTATGTGTCAGATAACGCATCAGTGCAGGGCAGAGGGATGAAACCCCGAGCCGGTAAATCAAAAAGGTTCTTGAAATTGGCTACGTGAGCAATAAGTACAGGAGCTTAATCCAAAATGAGCGGCTTAAGGGTATCTGCTGCATCTCATAGCTTGTTTCTGTTGACGTGTTTCCAACTGCCGTTTTCTCCGTCTGGGAACTTGAAAGAACCTGAGCAAAGGGAGGGGTTTTTGTTGTTTTATATTGTTTGCGTTGGGTTTCTTTCTCTCGCTGCAATCAGGAAAAAGGCAGCGCTCACAAGTATCATCTGCTGCAAGCCCTCCCATCGCTGCGTATTGCCAATAACGTGAGTCACCGGCACCCGCAGCACCTTCGGGAAGCGGGATCGTTGGACGGGCTGTTGCAAGGCACCTTCCCGCTGCAAGGGAGGTGGCTGGGCGGTAGCAAGGGGGTGCTCTCGCCTCGGGAGTGGAGACGTGGGAACCTCCTGGGTGCTGGGAACCGCGCGGAGATTCGCAGGCAAAACTGCACCCGCGCTCGCGGGGCCAGAAGCAACGAACCCCCCGTTTCGCAGGTGCTGCGCGGCGGCAGGTAACCTCAATAGCAGCGGCACTGGGGTTGTGCTGATGTTGAAAGCAAATAAATTCTGTCACGAGCGCGGCAGATGCGTGGAGTTGCGCTTTCCTAAGCCGGCAGATGCGAATTGGCACATGTTTGCTGGATCCTATGGACGGGGGCCAGGCAGGGAGCTGCCTTTGACTCCCAAAGAGCTATGCAAAGTCACACCTGGGAACCAGAGCACAGGCTGCAAACTATGTTTTAATTAAAGCAAAGAGAAAGGATTCGTGTTGAACGCAGTCATTACCTCCCTAGCTCTTCTAGGAAAGCCTGTTGCTGCAGACGACGGTAATTAAGGAGAATATTACAAAGGATTTGGAAGAGTAAGGCAAATGGTGGGTTAGGCCCCAAAACAAGGAAAAATCTTGCAGAATCTCTCAATCCCACGCAGTTTCCTTGCTTGGCTTGTGGCGCTCAACATGCATCGTCCTCCCGAAGCCGCTCAGGGCTGCAGGGGGGGGGCTGCGTGTCCCCCTGCAGAGGGGATGCCAACTGGGGAGGCAGGATTTGCTGCAGAGGGGTTGCCCGGGGGTGGGCTGGGGATGCAGAGCAAAGGGAGGAGGAACGGGGCCAGCTGAGATGTTTGCATGAGCTCAGCTGCCCGTGAGCACCACCGTTGGACTCGGTTATTTGCTTTTTTTTTTCCTCCTGCGCAGGCTGGAATAAAGTAATTTGGGACTTTTAAGGTCAGGTTGTCGTTAGCTGCGTTAACTCCTCACCCCCGTGCTGTGTAATTCAGGTGAGTGCCAAAATCGAGGTGACTCAGCATTTATTTTTAACCTTCGCTGATTTTTTGGCCTGTCTGGCTGCAACATCCTCTGGGAGAGCAGAGACCGAGGAGGTGGGTTTTGTCCCCGGGCTTTGGTCTTTTTCTTACTGCGGCTGCTTTGATTTTTCTGGCTGAAGGGAGACGGGATGCTCCCGTGTCTCGGTGCAGCTGGGTTTCAGCGAGGTTTTGCTGAAGCGGTTGTGAGCGTCTCCTGTGAACCTGCCGGGCCGGCGTGTGCTCGCTTGCTCTTTCCCATTTGCTGCGCTGAGTTATGTAAAGCCGAGACGGCGAGAGGTCAGGGAAAAGCGAAGCGTCTGACTCTTTGAAATGCAATAAGGTGTGAGTGTTTGTCTGAGGGGCTTTTTTTCCTCTTTTTTTTTTCTCTTCTATTCTCCTTTTGCAACGACGGCTGACCAAAATAACCCACATCGGTTGGTGAGTTGCTCCGCTCCAGCTCACCGAAACCCATCCTCAATCTAGATCATCTTGATAAAATCCTCCCCCAGAGCCCAGTGTATGTTCGGGTTTGCTACCTCTTTTTAAGAAAGCAAGAATGAAATACTGGGGGTTTGCCCGAACTAGCAGACCCGCCCTTCCGTGGAAGAAAGGTTTTTGGATTAACCCCAATCATATGTTAAGAAATGAACGGTGATCAATTTTTTTTTAGCACTTAATGGATAAGTGGCAAAACTTATCTGTTACCCACCCTCCTCTTCCTCCTCATCTTTTCTCCTATTCTTCAGTTTGCGTTGGGACAACCAATTTCAAGCTTTCGATTACAATTTTATGAGAATTTTGAGACTTTTCCCCCGAAGTAAAGCCAAAGCCTCCTCCAGCTCACTCTGCTGAAGGCTGGGAATATTTCATGCTACTGGTTCTGTTTTAGAATAAAAAGATGTAGAAACAAATAAATTACAATCCAGTTTTATTGAACACATTCCAAAAAGAGAGAGGAGGGAAAACACAGCATTGTATCACTATCATTGAAGTATAAAAAGCTGCAATTTTCTTTTTTAATGGTTCTTTCACAAAAATGAAAAGGCATCGTGGAAGGCTAGAGGGGTAAACTCCATATGAAAGGGGAAAGCTGATTTGGGGCACTGGTGTGCCTTTGGGCTCCTGCTCCCAATTGCCTCGTTTCCCATGTGCTGGGCTGAAACCTGACTGCATTTCTCGGTTGACCAAGTGTCTGTCTTTTGGCAGAGAAACCCACACTTAGGGGAGATGCTGAAATACCCACAGGAGCAGCGTGGACATGGCCCTTCGTGCAGATTTTTTCAGCGCCATTTTCACTGTCTCAGACTTTCATCTCGACTGCTGCTACCAAGACAGTGGGGAAAGGCAGCGAGACTTGGACTGTTGGATGATTTGGGCATTTTTTAAGCCGTTCCAACAAAACTTAGCATGAGGCGGGACAGCAACCCAATGCAACTGCAAACACCGATCTTGCTTTTGAAGAACTCGCTGCCGCAGTTATTATTTAGAATTTAAAAATCCTATAATTTAGAAAACCAGGCCTTTTCCGTATGCTTTGGATCAGTCGCTCGTGGCTCCTCTGGCAAAACACACCGATGAGATTACGTGTAAGGAGCCACTGTGGGCAAACTTTAATTTTAGAAGAGAAAGGACAGGAATGGGGGAGCAGTTTGGGCTTCCTTTTAGGTAGGCTCATTGCAAGTTGAATGCGCATCCCTCTGGGTGGTACTTTTGAGCTGGAGCTCTCTCAGATTGTTTTCCTAATATGAGGCTCTGACCCACTGGCCAGGCTCGTGTGCCTGACTTCGCACAGCTGCCGTGCTCAGCACATCTGGAAGAAACACGGTTTTTGTGAAGCTCAGCTGTGAATGGGGAGAAGAGGGGTTTTTTCCATTGCACTCAAGTGACTCGGGAATGACTCCTAACGGGCTCTCTGCTCCCATAATAAGGGGTCTTTTTAAGAGGGGTTCCCCGCTTGCAAACCACTGCCTGGGATCTTCCAGCAACCTCCTAGGGTATTTCTACACAGCAGAAAAATAACCCACATCTCTGCTGGAGATGAGTTGCTTAACTTCAAGGAGTTTGGTTCATCCCAGCAGTGAAGGCAAAGCAGGCTGAACGGAAGCCAAGTTCCCAGCCCATCCCTGGGCTTCTGTGGGCCAGAACTGAGCTAAAAACCCAAGTGACTGCATCTTCGCTGCTATTTGATCTGTCTCGGCTGATGGCTGTCAGCTAGCCAC